TAGGAATAGGGCTGGGGCCCTTGGGAAGGCATCTGGGATGGTTTTAGTAACTGAGGGTCTGGGCGGTCGGGGGTGGCGGTTCTGGAAATTTGCTCAGGCAGGTCCTGCCTGTCATTGCTGGTTCGCTGTTGCCCTCTGCTGGCGAAACTGTTGTCATCCAGGAAACTGCAAATCTCACGGAACTCCCAGGTTTCCTCATATGTTGGGGAAACAGGGTCCCCTTCCCGTCAAGTAAGGAAACGATGCTAGTGCTGAGGAACAGTGATGGTGAGAGGAGATGTGGCAAATTCTCTCCTGGGAGAAACTGGCTTTTAAAACCGAGGAAATGAATCTTATGGTTCTAGTTTTCTATTCCATGCTCATTTGCGAAGACTTTGCTCTCTCTTTTGGCTCTGTATTGAGCACAGTGAGGAAGCTCAAATAGCACTAGGTCCCATCTCTACATCAAATATTGGGGGAATGACAGGACAAGCACAGATATCATTGTCATACAGAGAATATTGTGCCTAGAGCCACACCTGAAGCACTGATAAAGGCTTGTGTGTATTTAAAGGTAAAGAAAGATGACATCCATTTGGGGGTGAGGATGATGAAGATAAGGCTGCATGAAACAGATAGCATTTAAAGTGGGAACTTGAAAGATGGGGAGGATTTATTATTTAGAAAATATCTTTTATCATAAAAGTAGAATATAAAAAATATTTTTCATTGTAAAAAATTGAACTCTGGCTACTTAAAGTATGAAAAGAAATAAAAGTCCCTTGAAATCCCACCACTCAGAAATAACGTGTTAATGTTTTGATCTATGTATTTTGTGGTGGTGGTTGTTGCTGTTACAAAATCAGATGTGTACTGAAGGTAATATTTTGTATCCCGCTCTTTCTCACTTATGGCATGCACATCTTCCCAATGTTACTGATTATTTTTTGAAAATGTACTATTTAATGGGAGACGATTTCAATGTAAACCTGAAGACAGGGTTCTCCAAACATCATGAGCCAAGGCTTATAGCTTGCATAGCGCAAGGATTGTTCAATTTTTATTAATTCATTTCAGAAATTTTTTTTAGTCACCTATAACTTAGGAGACACAACGCTAACTGACTCTGTCTTTGTGGAGTTCACAATAAGAAAAAGAAACAGACATTACTTAGATAGTCATAGAAATAACTATAAAATTGTATCTGGGATAAGTACTATGAAGGAGTAAAGTGAAGTGCTAGGAAAATGTATATTAGAAAGAAGAGAAGTAGTCACAGATGTCTGGGAAAACTTGCCTGAGGAAGTCGTAAATGCTCACCACTCTAGAAGTTAACTAGGTAAAAACGATCAGGGAGAACATTGCCAGCAGAGAAACCAGCATGTTTGTTCAAAGGCCCGTTAGTAGAAATGGGCATGGTGAATACAAGAAACTGAAAGGAAATCAAGGAGAATGGAGTGAAGAGACTTGGCCTGTAATGAGGTTGTAGAAGTAGGTAGACCAGGTGAAGAATTTTTGTCATTTTTCATGAGAATGCTGGGGACCTGCTGAAGTGTTTTAAGCCAGAGTGGGAGGGTGAAGACAAGCTTTGTTTTTTCAAAAGGTCCACATCATTGCAGTCTGGTGAAATGGTTGGAAGGAAACAAGAGCAGATGTAGGTAAGGCAGCTATAAGTGACTAGTAGCCCAAACCTAGTGAGAGAGTGACTGCAATAATCCAGGTGGGAGATGAGGAAAGACTGAATCAGGATGGTAAAGGTTGAGATGGAGAGAAGTAGATGGTGTTGAGAGATATTTTGGGAGTAAATGTCTAAGACTGGGCGTGTGAGGTGAGAAAATAGGATGAGCCAGAATGACTCCTACACCTCTGGCTTGCACACCTGGAAGAAAGGAGGGCTCTTCCCAAACATAGGAAACACGGTATGAGGACAAGGTTTGGAAGAGATAGTCATGAGTGTTGTCTTGGGGAGTGGATTCCCAGAGAGAAGTGATACATATCATCACATCATCTCTTTCCACAGGTGGGTTCTACCACATTTTCACATCACGATGAAGGGTCCTCTGTTTGGAGGCGGGTGGTAATGGGGAGAAAGCCAAACTTAAGGGTAGATTTGGTATCTTGATACCTGTTTCAGGTTCCTGCACTACTGATTGCTAGGTATAAAACATTGGACAAGTTATTTTAAGAGTCTCTGGACCTTAGTTTCCTGGTCTTTAAAATGAGGGTAATAATATCTAATGCAAAAGGTTGCTGTGAGGATTCAACGAGGACATTGATGTTCAAGGGCTTTGTAAAGCTCCACAAGCTGTACAAATGTAATATTGCTATTTCTATTCCTATATTTGTCCTGGATATTATCACCAACCAAACTTTAATTATATTAATATTAGGCATATGAAATTTCATGTTTTCTCCATGAATTCTTTGGGAAAAAAGGGTGTGATTGAAGTCTAAATAAATAAAAACACCACCTAGGATTTCGAGATGGTGGCCCCCAACTATTTATAAGCCTGCATGTTTACTTGAATTCAGACTTTCCCAACATGTAAATTATGCAGAGTCTGTGTCACAGCAGAGTACTCTGTGTTCCTAAAAAGAATTCTCTTTTTTTCCCGAATCCTTTACCTTTTAAAATAAATCTCATTATGGAGCGCTGACATTTTCAGTAAAACCATTCAACCAAAAGCTGCAGTTTTTTCAGACTAAAAACAAGTCTGGTTTATTAGGCAGCAGTTTATAACTTGCTGCTAAGTAGATGCAATCTATTTAGAGAAATTTATGTAGATATCTGATAAGACATTTCAGAGTTCCTTTCTCTTTCTGACTAAAACTGAGAGTGTTAAACAGATCATCAAGAATTCCCTTATCTCTCATTGGAGTAGGAATGGAGTATCACAGTGTTGTTGGAGTGGATGGAAACCTTAGAAACAAAATTTAAACCAGAACCTTTTGACTTACCACTGACTCTACCAGCATATTCTAGCTGAGGGAATTTAAATATGGCTTTCTTCAATGAGTTGTGGGGAAATGTTACTTATAAATACGTAACAGTCGACATACAATAGGACCTCCATCAATGATCTCATCCTTGGTTTCCTCCTTCTGCTTCTTCCTCTTTCTTGCTTTTTCCTTTTTCTCTCCTGTCTCCTCCTGTTCTTCTTCCCATTGATTTAACTCCTATCTTTCTTTTGCTTGTCTGTCTTTAGATTATACTGAGGATTGGCATATATTTGGATTACCCAATTGCTTAGTGACTTAGGTCTCTGCCAGTGATAATAACAGTTAATTTATAAAACACTGATTGAGAATCATACTCCTTAATTCTCTCCCCAAATTTATGAGGTGAATATTAGTATTGTCTCTATTTCTCAGATAAGGGACATGAACCAAAGACCGATTAAAGTCTGATCTTTCAGAATTAGTGAGTAATAGAACTAGAAGTTTCCACTCCTGCTCTCAACCAGTTGACTTCTTCAAAATGATTATAATTGGCACTCATTTATTCATTCTACAGATATTTATTTAGTGTAGGTTATTTAACAGGAACTGCATAGAATGAGTAGCCCAACAAACATAGTCTCCGCCCTCATAGAATACACACACACACACACACACACACACACACACACACACGGATGATACTAGCCCATACTTTTTGGCTTTGCCCTACCTTCTGTACTTTGTGTTCATTCTCATCTGTCAGTGTCCATATGGTACTTGTTACTAAACATTTTACATATAATTCCTCCTTACAAGCAGCAATAAGTTCCACAAAGGAAAAAGAGTCAGGATGCTTTTAGAGTATAATAGGGGGTCAAGTGCATGTGAGAGTTAATGAATTCCTCTTTGGATGAGGCATTTGAACCATGACTTGCACAATGAGTTTTCTTAGCCTGCTGTGAGATGATGCTGGGTTTCTAGAAGCCAGACCATATAGGGGTGTATAGTTCAGTTAGGCAACTTGGATTTGATCTTCAGAACAAAAAGAGTCTATTTCATAAAGTGAATGGGCAGTGATATCATGCCTTTTGTATTTTAAAAATAGCCTTGCGGTTACTCTGCATGGAGAGGAATGAAACGCCTATACTATCTTTGCATTAGATTGACTCTGTATAGTGGAGATTCAGATAAGAGTCAGTCACAAATCATCCTTTTTAGTTTCTTAGGGAAGACTAAACATGTACTAAGACAATTCTAATAAAAGTCATGAAGTGCTATATACTAAAGACTATAGTAAACAGACAGTAAAAGTGCTGTGAGTGAGAAGAATTATAGACCACACTCTTGTTCTTTTAACCAGAAGCCATTGTTTTGATTCCTTTTTGTTCCCTCTGTTGGAGAGACTTTTAACTCTTAGAATTTTTCCATGTATGCCCTGAAAGGCCCTCAAGTGGGAAGCAAATAAATTTAGGAAACACTTATCTAGTGTCTAGCTGTCCTTGGCTCATAAAAATCCTACTTCACTTATTTCACTGTATTTCTATCACAAGGATATGATGGGATGAACTTGAAATAGTGATGGCTTGGGAATCAGTGGACCTATGTTCAAATCTGCACTTTATCTCCAGTTAGCAATGTGACCTTTGGAGATTAACATAAACTAATGCATAGTAAGTAAAGTTTGTGGTGCAGATTGTGTTAGAACAGAGATGTTTTTCTTATCCTTGGAGGAATATGTGCTCCACGATGTTTTCCTAGAGAACTGGGAAGATATGGAGGAGCATGAATCAATCGATTGCCAACTTGATATAAACTTGCTGCTTCCCTAAGGATCCATCATCAGTAGTAATCATTGAGCTCTGTGGCCATAGAACACTTACCTGTGATCTTTGACCTTCCCTCCTACCTTGGTCAAGGAGCCAGACTGAGAGAGAGGAGGTGGTATTCCTCAGCCCATCTTTCTTCTGAATGATCAAACCTCACCATCTTTTGTGTTAGTAGAGATGTTTAAGTATATGCCATTATCTTTAACCTGGAAAAATTATGCCATCAACTTTTCTTCTCCATGGTGATTTCTACAGGATAGACCACTGGAACAATGAGAAGGAGAGGATTTTGCTGGTCACAGACAAGAATCTCTTGATCTGCAAATATGACTTCATCATGCTCAGTTGTGTGCAGCTGCAGCGGATTCCCCTGGGTGCTGTCTATCGCATCTGCCTGGGCAAGTTTGCCTTCCCTGGGATGTCACTGGACAAGTAAGAATGATGTTTCAGACTTGAGGAAGTGATGCAGTGGGGGAGAGTTACAAAATTCAGTTCCATACTGTAAGCTGGGAGAACCCAAGGGGGAACAGGGAAGCTCTACAGTTGAATTTATCAACTATTGAGTCTCTCCTCTATGTCAGACACCAGAGATAACATTTTAAGTAAATTTGTACTTTAATAAGATAACCTAAATGGTCAAATGTAAGATGGAAAGATCTGTGGGATCATGGAGAAATGTTTGTGTGGCAGAGAATCAGCAAGGCTTTCCTGGAGAAGCACTTGAGCCAATATCTGAGATTGGATAGAAGTTAGCCAAAGAAGGGGAACAAAAGTGTAAGAACATTTCAAACAAAAAGAACAGCAAGATCGAAGGAGTGGAGGTGGAAAAAAAATTGATGCTTTTAATTATTAAAATTATTCAGGGAATTAAAATTATTCTGTAAAGCTCAATGGCTAATAACTCTTCTTAAAAGAAGTCTTTTTGAGATCTTCCCTGATGACTTAGTGGAGGAGACAATAACTGTCTCAGAGATATTGACAGTTACCAAGAGACCTGGTGAATTCTACAAAGGAGGGTTGCTGGACTGAGTAAATTCTTGTCGTGATTTCAAAAAGAGATATTTTGATCTAACATCTTACATCTAAGTCATAAAGACAACAAACTTCCTCTGACCTCTGAATGCGAGCTCTTCCCATTGAACTGTGAACTTATTGAAGGCAGGTACCATATTTTGCGGGGGGGGGAGAGGCATCCTAGAAGCACCTGGCATTGGGCCTGGCACATAGTAAAAATAGAAAAATCTTTCTAAAATACTAAAAAAGTAGAGCTTAGTCAAGTGATTGGTTTTTCTTATATACAGCATACCATATCAAAGACCTATTTTTTATTTACTCTTTTCATGAATGCAAGAAGTGACCAATTGATTTAGTTCACCGACTTTTTGAATTGATGAGATTTTCTAATAACGTATGCTCATCATAAACATATATTTAACCATCACAGAAAATGTTTATTTTCAGGACCTACTTCTCTTACCCCAAATTTTCAGTTCTCCAGGATTATCTCCATAGGCAATAGTCTGCCGTTTCGTGTGTGTGTGTGTGTGTGTGTGTGTGTTGTGTGTGTGTTTAAAGAAATAGTCCATAAATATACAAGAATAGAAATGTCTTTGTGAATATATATATACATATATATATATGTCTGCGTGTTTGTACACATTTGTAAGTTTATATCTGCACACAAATTATCACTAATTATTTTACTCAATCGTATACATGTCACAAACTGTTTTGCCTCAAGCTGTTTTACTTTGTAATATACCTTGGAAACTTTATTATATAATCAGGTATAGATATAGCTCAGTCTTTTTAATAATGCAGAATATTCTATTTTAAGCCTAACCCATTTATCCAGCCTCTCATTAATGGATATTTATTTTTATCTTTCTACTACAAATGATACTATAAATATCCTTGTCTATAGGACTTTGTACAGATGTGCAAGTGTACCTGTAACATAATTTTTGTAAGTGAATTAGGTCATAAGTCACATGAATTTTAACTGATAGATATTGCCACATTGCCTTCTAAATGGCTGACACCAGTTTATGCTCCCATGGAGTGTAAGAATATCATTTTTGACACATCTTTACCAATATTGTGTATTATGAAACTCTTGCTTTGCCAGTGAGATAAAGAAAAATATCTTATTTTTGTTTTAATTTTTATCACAAAAATTTGAAGGAACTTGAGGTTGTTTTTCTTATGTTATAAAGACATTTTATTTATTTTTCTGTGAACTATTTTGACCATAGCTCATTTTTAAAAATGGGATAATTAAGTTTTTCTTATTGATTTGTAAGAGTTTCTTATATATAAAAGAACTTGATCCTCTGCCTGCCATACATGTTGCAAATATTTTTTCCCCCAGTTTGTCACAGTTCTCTTAACTTTATAATGCCATTTTTTACTTTGAGTTTTAGGTTATCAAATTTATCTATCTTTCAAAATTTATAAGTTTATTTCTTTTTGAGAAAAACTTTCTTTCTATACACTGAAATTATAAAATATATTTCCAAGTTTTCATCTTGTGTCTTTATAGTTTTATTTTTAGAAAGTTATATTTATGTTTCATTTAGTATTTACCTTCAGTAAATAAAAAGATATGCAAGCAGCTGTTTTTTTTATCCAGATGGCAGGCTAGATTTCTTAGCATCATTTATTTGATCCTCTATCTTTTTTCCTTTATCATATGTACTCTACCATGTTTGTTTCTACTTCTGAATTCTCCATTGCACTCCATTTATCTGTTTATTAGTGTACAAAATAGCTTTAATTCTTATAACCTTTATTTATGTTTTAATAACAGGTACAGTTACTCCCCTCTTATACATCCTTTTTTTAGAGTTTATATTTATTTTTTCAGCAGCTTGCCAAGTTTTTTTTTAAAAAACTTATTTTTATTAGGATTTTTAAATATTCTATCAACCTTCCATTTCTAAGATAAACACATTTAGTCATGGTATATTATCCTTTTTATACATTCATGGATTTGGTTTTCTGATATTTTATTAGAGTTATGTGTCTATGTTCATGAGGAATATTAGTCTACTATTTTCATTCTTTTGTAAATGTCTTTGTAATGTTTTGGTATTTGGGTTATGCTGGTCTTATAAAACAAGTTGAAAAGTGTTCTCTCCTCTTTTGTTTTCTAAAAGATTTTGTTTCTGAATAGTGTTATCTCTTCCTTGAATATTTGAAAGAATTTATAAGGAAAATCTTGTAATTCCCGAGATTTCTTTGTGGGATAGTTTTTGATAATAAAGTTACTTTTTAAAAAGTAAATACTGAGTTACTTATAATTTTTCTTTGGTTTGTATTGATTTTGGTTAATTTCTCAAGGAATATGCTAAGTTCATTTAAGTTGTATTTGAAAGCATCAGGTTGTTCAGATTCTATTATTATCCCTTAAATGTCTATAAGATATTTAGTGAAATATTTTTCTTTTCTAATATTGACAAGCTTCATTCTCTTTCTTTGTTGTTAATGAACTTAACCAACTTTATTGGTTTTAACAAGAATATGCTGTTTTTTGATGTGTTCTTGTATATAGATATAATTAAATATATTAAGCATTCTCTCTCTTTGTTGTTAATGAACTTAACCAATTTTATTGGTTTTAACAAGAATATGCTGTCTTTTGATGTGTTCTTGTATATAGATATAATTAAACATATTATATGTTAACTTTGTTTCCTCATCTGTCAAAGATCCATTCATATTAAGTGTCATTCTGTTTCATTAACAGTTTTATTGAATATATATCTATATAATCACCTAGATATAATTGAATTTTACTTTGTGATCTGACTTGGGGGTCTTTTCTTTTAATTGGTAATATTAACCTATTTACACATATTGATGCAACAGTTATGGCCTTAGTTCTCCCATCTTGATTTTTATGTTATTGTATTTTTAAAAAATATATATATTGTATTTCCCATATTTCCTTTACTTTTCATTGAGTGTGTGTGTGTGTATATATTATATATATATGTATATTTAACAAGGTTTATAGTCTACCTTTTTCTACTGGTGATTCTAAGTGTATATAACTTAACATAGCATTCTTAATCCTATCTTTTTAAAATCTTATCTATTGACTTCCTAATATAAACCTATTTACACTAACAACCCACCTATTTTGTTTTCTTTTAAAATTTGTCTATCATTCATTTTTTAAAGTAGTTTATTTGTCTATCATTCATTTTTTAAAGTAGCTTATTAGTATCATTATTAGTTACCTCAGTGGTTACTAATTTAAGTAATATGCTTCCACTTGATGTGTCATCTTAAATATTGTATATTAAACCTCCATTCTAAAAAATAACAAATCTGCCTATTCATACTATTTCCTCATTCTCTCATCCTTTACTTCCCTTCTTTCATTAATTTTACTAGACTAAGTTCATTTTTTATGGCATATTTTATTTTATTTCCCATGAGGCACTCAATTATTACCACAAAGAGTTGATGCAATTCCAGCCCTCCTAATTAACTTGTGTAGCTTTATCCAGATTTGCATTCTGGAGTTAGAATGAGAAAGCCTGTGCCAGCAGCTGGCATGCTGTTAAATGTTAAAGGGCTTTCTCTGGGCCCCTGGAGGTCGGAACATAATGTGGTGAAGGGGTAGTTTATGTTCTGCTCGGTTTTTTAGCAAACTTTCATAGTTGAGTTCTGGACTAAGAGAAGAGTCCTGGGTTTCAGTCCCAGTTTTACAACTGTTAACTTTGTTTCCTCATCTATCAAAGATCATGCATATTAATTGTCATTCTGATTCATTAACAGTCTTATTATAAGGCTCTAATGAGATAGCTTGAAAGCAATTCGTAATATGCTTGGTAGATATCAGATGTTAACAAGTTCTGATTCTCTCCCAGATAAAAGCTTTTGTTAATACAAAACTAAGTAGATTAATTTGATTGTTATCTTTATTTCCAAGGCAGTTGGCCCTTCTTGGTTGGGCATTAAGTCAGCAAGATCAGAGGTCAGGCGGCAGTAGTCAGAGAACGGAGGAAGAGGCAAGAGAAAATCAGCTGCTAAATAATTATAAGCTGACTCCAGAAGAAAGCTCGGCAGTCTAAGCAAATTCCCTTGTCATAAGAAGATGCAATGATTTAACATTAGCACCCGCTAGGTGTAGTGGTAATGCTGACATGGTTGACCAAGAGCTTTTACCTCCTCTGTGCCATATGACCTTCAAATCCCAAGAATAAGTAGCACTGATTGACTACATGTTAGAGATGAGACAAATGAGACCAAAAGAGGTTCAGGGTTTCAGGAGCCATCAGCTAATTAGTGTTAGAACTGGATTTCAAAATCAATTTTTCCAATTCTCTGTCCGGTATTATTTTCTTTGGATAAATAATATTTTAACTTCTTTTTCTCTCTCTCTCCTTCCACTCCCTTCCCTCTTTCTCTATGATCTTCCT